TATAGGCGACAACCCCACCTAAGGATTCTAAACAGTATTATCCAAATTATATTTTACTTCTTCATTTGTATCTGCATTTGTTTTTGAACCATTTTCATTTTCAATTTCATCAAACTTTAATTGCATTTAAATGAACTTGAACTACTTCCAACTATAACCACACCTTTCTCCACCCAACATATACAGGTAAAATATCTACATATACAGATATATATCTACCTGAACTTCAGGCATCTTGAAGTAGCCTGTGATCAGTTTTATTTCAAAAGTACTGATCTCTACGCATATCAGAGAACTGACTTGGACCTTTTCTTGACACAGATATCAATAACTCTTGTTTTTGAAGAATAACCTTTCTCCAGAGGCCTTTATTTGAAACGTACGTGTGTCCAAAGTAATATTACAAAACGTAATTTGAACTAATTCCACACAGTTATCAGTCATCCTTTCAGGGGTCAACAATAAGAGGGCGCACCGGTGCTTTTGTGTCTGACAAACCATGATTAGCGCCTGGTAACCCCTTCAAACTGCAAGAGATCAGATGCTAAAATTAGCGCCAGGCTGTTATTGATCTTGTCTTCACAAAACACCTTTCAACAACCTCTTCTCAAGTTAAAACACCTGTTTATATGTTTTCCCACTTACATTTGCAATTTTTTAAAAGAACCTTCTGTTATTTTCACAAGTTCCCTTGTGGAAACATGTGCGTGAAGGTCAATCCATTAAAGCAAAGCTGCGAATTCTGAACATGCTGAATAGAGATTGCGTCATTCTGAGAGAAGAGAGAAACCGAGGGGAACCCTCGCCCTGTGTTCGTAGTGGATAAACCCTTGTGCATGATCAAACAGTGCAGGCAGCCATTCTTTGTAGCCATTGTTTGGCATGCACAAGGGTTTATCCACTTAGAACACAGGGCGAGGGTTCCCCTCGGTTTCTCTGTTTTCTCAGAATGATGCAATCTCTATTCAGCATGTTCAGAATTCGCAACTTGGCATTAACAGAAAAAAAACCTTTTTAGCTTGTTATAGTTGAGCTCTGAGATAAATGACACTGCATTCGATTTGGATGCTTCCATATTTATTTGAACAGATAAAATTAGAGAAAACATGTTTTCCCTTGAGTTGCTCTTTCATGTTGACCCCTTTCCTTAATTTTCCTTGCTTTGACAATCCTGATCTCTTAACATTGAAAACACTGTTAACATTCCTTTCACAACTGCTCTTAAAAAATCTGCATGTTGCAATGTTACAAATAAGTAGGGCAAGTTGAAATAGTATTTGGAAATCAAACAAAAGCATAGATGTTCTATATCCATCGCCTGGTCAGGTAGACATTACAAGGGTTAATAATGCCATGCAATATCACACCTATGAAAAAGTGCACTCAAGCGAAGGAAAATAGGTTAAACTTACTTTGGCAATTAATACCTGACCAGCCTGGAGTGCAGCCAGCAAAACAACTCTCAGATGAACACATCGAAGTACACACACCTGTGAATGCATCACAACTTCCTGACTGACAGTGACATGTCTGAGTACATCCAGCTCCAAACATTCCACTGGAGCAAACTACATGCAAGATGGAATTTTCAGAAATGTTTGATATGGGAATTACTTTGTAGCGTTGAATATGACTAAAATTTTATTTATGGAAATCGCAAAACTTCCTGAGNCATAGGCGACAACCCCACCCAAGGATTCTAAACAGTATTATCCAACTTATCTTTTACTTCTGCATTTGTATCTGCATTTGTTTTTGCACCATTTTCATTTTCAATTTCATCAAACTTTAATTGCATTTCAATGAACTTGAACTACTTCCAACTATAACCCCACCTTTCTCCACCCAACATACAGGTAAAATATCTACATATACAGATATATATCTACCTGAACTTCAGGCATCTTGAAGTAACCTGTGATCAGTTTTATTTCAAAAGTACTGTTTATCTCTACGAATATCAGAGAATTTACTTGGACCTTTTCTTGACACAAATATCAATAACTCTTGTTTTTGAAGAATGACCTTTCTCTAGAGGCCTTTATTTGAAACGTACGTGTATCTAAAGTAATGTTACAAAACGTAATTGGAACTATTTCTACACAGTTATCATCTTCTCAGTCATCGTTTTAGGGGTCGACATTAACAGCGAGAGGTAAGGTGCCGAAATTAGCGCCAGGCTGTTACTGATCCTGCTTCACAAAACACCTTTCAACAACCTTTTCCCACCTTAAAACACCTGTTTTATATGTTTTCCTACTTATATTTGCAATTTCTGAAAAGAATCTTCTGTTATTTTCACAAGTTCCTTTCACGTTTTGCTATCATGAAAACATGTGCGCAAAGCTCAATCCATTAAAGCAAAGCTGCGCTGGTTCCCGCCGCGCCACGCCCATGCCAGAGAATGTGTGATGGAAATGTGCCAACCAGTCTATACATCACGGTTGATAATGCTACATTGGCCCAACCATACATACACACAACCCTACAGCTGCAGGTAAAAAAATATTGATGTTGCAAGAGGATTTCTGCAAGTTAATTCACAGAACTTGGTTTCTTGACTCTGTATGTATTCTCTGTATTCAGTTTACTTTGAGGCAGTTTCGCTTGTACTTGAAGCAAGCGTATTTCATCAAAATTTTTCTGCCGTGGCATAAAGTTTATTGCCTGCCCATTCAGATGCACCATGCATGCTTACCACACGATACACAGACACCGTTTGCCAGTTTGCCGTCATGATTAACTGACTAGTATTGTGTGAATTGTCCATAATTATTGTGAATTGTCTACTGTAAAACATTTTTTAGAAAGAATACGACGTGTTTTTATCACTTTTTGAGACAACTTTGGGAAGCTTTCATTCCCATTCATGCCATTCAAAATCTGCCATGCCAGAAAAAGTGACCCCTACAAAATCTCCGACATCCTGACCCTATATTTGAGAGCCATGTAATTGGAAGCAGATCTATTATTTTTTGGCCTAATATGACTCTACCTAAAATAGCTCCCAGGTTCAATGAAACAGCTCCTGATAAAACCCCTGAAACTTGAAAGGCCAGGAGCTGTTTTTAGCTTCTGGGCCTAATGTCGATCCCTGTCCTTTTCTTGAGCCAACAATCCTGATCTCTTCACATTGAAAACACTATGAACATTCCTTTCACAACTGCTCAAATAAGTAGGGCAAGTTGAAATATTATTCGGAAATCAAACAAAGGCACAGATGCTCTATATCCATTGCCTGGTAAGGTCGACATCACAAAGGTTCATGATACCACGCAATATCACACTAATGAAAAACATCCACTCATGATGAAAAGTGCAAAGGAGAATACGTTACACTTACTTTGGCAATTAATGCCTGACCAGCCTTGTGCACAGCCTTGTGAACATGAACCTGTGTATGCATCACAACTTCCTGACTGACAGTGACATGTCTGAGTACATCCAGCCCCAAACATTCCACTGGAGCAAACTACATGTAAGATGGAATTGTCAGAAATATTTCATATGGGAATTACTTTGTAGCGTTGGANTAAGAACCGTTATATACTGTATATATTACTTCTGCAGTATATCAAAATATGATAGGAACAGAGACAGATGTACGATTTTGGTAGACCAATTGTTTGGGGTATCGCAGAAACTGATCACAAAGTGACATGGCTCTTCACTGCAGACTCTGTAATCAGTTCCCTACATGTGGAGTCCTTACCCATGTTACAGTCCCTGCCATGGTATCCTGAGATGCAGCTGTTCCCGTAGGGGTCTGGTAGACCAAACTGGCTCCCTGTACAACTCTGGATGATGTTACCAGGTCCACATTGGAACTCACAACTCCAGCCAAATCTGTGCATACCACAAGCTGTTGAAAGCAAAAGTCGAGATTATTTTCTCTAAAGGCTACCAACCAGCAATTCACATCAAGGGAGCAAATCCATTAGGATAAAAAAGCAAAACACGGTAAATAAAAAGAAGCCTAAATGGCTTCTGCAGGACTTCATGCCAAACATCAGAACCTAAAACTTCTGTATGAAAACTGATTGACGAACGGCACTGTTAAATTGTCATTTGTTTTCGCTGCTAACATTCACCCAATTGCCTATTAAAGTAAACATCAGAAAATGTTAAACGTACTATGTTTCTGCCTAGCACACAAGGAATAGAAGCTCAACACAGAAATTATAGAGGATTCACAAATATGTTCATTTAATTTTTCGAAAGCCTTCCTTAAGAGAAATTCTCTGCTACTTCAGCTGTACTTGCAAAGAGTTGTTTTTAAGTTTTACATCTCAACGGAGCAAAGGCTTTGGTTACATCATCACATACTCCACGTACTACAGTGGAGTACATTACAAACATGGGTAGATCAGAGTAGTGGTAAGCTCACCACTGCAGTGGTGAGTGCACTGATACAATACCGACAGTGACTAGCAATGAGCTTACCAGTGAGGCAGTTTGGTCCACTGAATCCTGGTGGACAGATGCAATCCCCTGTCTCATCATTACAAAGTCCTCCATTGTAGCACATGTCACACATAGCTACACAGGCAGGAGGACCCCACTTGTCCGAAACACAGTCTGGGTGAGAAAAAGTAACACAGGAAACTTGAAATTAGTAGTTGGAAGTGTGCCAACTTCAATACCCTCTGATAGATGCTCAATGTTCACACATGCATATTGAATGCATTTATTGTGAAACGCTACAAATATAGATTATTGATGGAATTTCTAATTCTGACTCTTATAATGCGCAGTTAGTAATAATTATTGGGGGAAGGTTGATCCCTGAATAATGTGTTTATAAAGATAGTGGGGTAATACTGTACATTTGCAAAGCGGAAAACAGTTCAGTTGGGGTACATTTTACTGTCAATGCTTGTAATCATTTGGTTTATATAAGCCGTTTGCTTTTGCACCGAGTATGACTGTTCACTGATTCAAAATCCCAGTTTCTGAATGTCCCATTTTTCTCCAAAAAAACAAACAAACAAATTTGCAATAGTGTAAAGAAATTGAAATAATCCTCTTTATCTATTTCCTCAATATACCTGCAGTGTCTTTATTTCCTTACCTCTGACAATAAGTCTGATCAGACTGAAGTGATTATCATTCACTGAGAATGCATGCTGAAATGTGGCATACAAATCCCCATCACTGACCATGGAGGAAGGTATCGTGATATCATACATGTTCATGTCATTGTCTGTGTATAATTCGGTTACAGCTCCTTGTCTGATTCTATGCCACAAAGGATAGCTGCCAGAATCGACCGAGTCAATCATGAGCGTAACACCTTCTCCTTTATTGATAGTTCTCGTCACCAGTCCACTGCGTGGCTCAAATCTTCCTACAAGTTTGAACACAATAAAAGATAACGAGCAGAGCTCTGTAGATCACAAAAACTCTACATCGATGAAATATAATGGGATGCCCAAGAGTTTTCTCTGAACTGATATGCTCTGATCACCTGGCTGCTGCTGGAAGCAGCCCATACCATCAGTCTGTGAGAAGTGGCTGTGGGTGTTACAGTTTCAGTTCACAGTGGAAAGTATGAAATCCAGTCACAGCCATGTCTTACTACCAAAATTGTATTGGACATTGTAAAAAATACATGTAAATGTACATGTCTCCTGCATCGTAAAGGTTGGTTTAAGGGCTGGTTCATACTTGCTGCGTTTGCACACACGCAGCGCATAATGTCAACGCCGCATTTGACGTTCATACTTTCAAGTTTTCTCAAGTCTCGACTGCATCTGCATATCCGACGAAAGTTAAAAAAGAGTTTTAATTTGGCCGAATACGGATACATTTGGTGCGTACGCACTATCCATTAATTTCAAACTGCATGCAAAGGCGCGCATTTTCATTACGCATCGCGCTTTCCTTCACGCACTGCGGACATCTCAAAATAGACCTTCGCGCTACGTACACAGTGAATACGCAGCGAGTTTGAACCGGCCTTTAGCCACTCCATTCAATAGTACTGTTTTTGTGCCTTTCAGAGGTTGTACGACACTTACTGTGAATACTGTGGATGATGCTGTACACTCTGGTTGTTAAGCCTCTGTTTGAACCTTCACAATAAAACAACCCAGTGGCATCATTACTGGAGGTCAGATCCCACGTGACTGCTTGTCCATTCATTGATTGTGTACTGCCATCTGGGAGGGTGGTTGAGGTTTGTACTGTAGATCCTGGGAGGCCTATCTGGAATGGTCTGCCAAAGCTCAATGTCACATCTTCATCAGGACTGCTACGGAAGCAGCTGATGCTAGCTGAAGACCCAGCCCCATAAGGTGTGGGTGTGACCATTGTCAGATGAACCGTATCAGCTGTTGGGAGAATTAAATAAAATAATCCTGAATTTGTTTGAGGTAAGTGCACATCTTTATTCTGTGCAGATGAAAATCTTTTCCATCCATTGACAAAGAACCTGTGTTACACATTGTGATTTTCAATGCCGTATTTTTGAGTTCACTCATCTTCATTTACTAAAAAGTACACTACCAAAAATACAAGGCTGGGTACAAAAAACAAAAACGTGCATGCATTTTCTTGGCTCCAACGACTTCCCCTTTTTCCTGAAAAATCTGATATGTAAACAAGAGAGAGGAATTAGGAACCAATCAAACAAAAACACGCACATACAATAACAATGGGCTGATCCTGCAGTGAAACAAACCAAATACTTGGATGTGAAACTACTTTTGAAAAGAGTTCCCTATAAGGACATTGCTTGACGCCCTGTGCAAAAACCCTATGAGTATGAGACTAGTCTGAAAAATATTCTCTTTCTTGTGTGATACCTCAATATTTTCCTGCTACATTTGACTTTTTAGGTCATGTTATTGCTTTCAACTTGCTTATGAAAAAGTAGAGAAAATTACTGGCGTCCATACACATTTATGGAATTCTTCCCTCTGCCCTAAATAAGAAATTAATTGGTAGAAATGGTGGACGGGTGATGCCGTTCTGTTCCCTATGAGTATGAGACTAGTCTGAAAAATATTCTCTTTCTTGTGTGATACCTCAATATTTTCCTGCTACATTTGACTTTTTAGGTCATGTTATTGCTTTCAACTTGCTTATGAAAAAGTAGAGAAAATTACTGGCGTCCATACACATTTATGGAATTCCTCCCTCTGCCCTAAATAAGAAATTAATTGGTAGAAATGGTGGACGGGTGATGCCGTTCTGTTAAACACGAACTTTAACACACCCACGACACAATGGGCATGACGGGATTTTAATTCACATCAGTAAAACAACACTGTATGACATCAATCATATCATTTTTGGCCTCTTTTACAAATTGTGGAACAGGTCTGGATCAGTAAAAGCCAAACCAACATTAATTCTAAGTTTTGGTTTGCTTACCTGTGACACTTAAAACTATGGAATTCCATATCTGCCGTCGTGCGTCGTGCTTCGCCCGTCGTGCGTCGTCCGTCGCGCGTCGCCCGTCGTCCGTCGCCCTTGGTTTTTTTTGTCACGCTTGTGCGTTGTTACTTTTAACTTTGACCCTTGATCATTTCACATGTACTTGTTCGATCGATCCACCATGCCTGACACTCATTTTAGCAATAGAACTAGAAGATGTACATGTATTCGTTTTTGCAGTTGCGCCAAACTCCAATTGAAAGAAGAAATAC